TCAAATATCTACAAAACATATTTTTCTAATACCTTGCGGTCCTCCAGCGATACAAGCTCATTGAGATCCCGACATGTCCTCCTCCAATGGTAGAACAAATTATACTCGTACTTGTAAGTTTTCCCACAGAGCGGACAGAGGAAGGAACCAAAAATCTATAGTAGGCAGACATTTCATCATAAATAAAGATTAAGTCCAATAAATGGTGCGAGTACAAATGGTTAAGCTGCAGACCTAGTTGTCATTTAAAAAGCAAAAAAAAGTTTGGTACTGCAAAACTAAAAACTAACACATAACAGACAGCGTAAGAATAAAAGATGAATGTGCGCCACACTAACTCTGTGACACGCTATAGCTATCTAGAGAAATTGGTAACGAATAGAAATTTTCAAGTTAGCAAAGCAACCTGATGGACTGCAAGGTGCCGTTCAAGCCTGGCTGTATTCACAAACGACTGACCACATTCGGAGCAACGACACTCTCCATAAACCCGATTCCTTCAAATAAAGATTTCGCTAAATCACTGAACTGTGACTTGAAGAAAAGCAAATTGGAGTTTAAAAAAATACCTTCTCATCTTCATTCCTTGTGGAAAAGGATCAGAACCTACACCAAGAGATTCACCGGTTTCAGCTGTTGTAATAGCACCTACATTTATCGGTTCACCACGAGAATCAATAGCTACTCCTTCATTATCATCATACATCTGGGCCATTTCGTATGTCCCGTTACCAGAATCAATGAGCACAGTTTTTAAAGCGCGTCGGTTGGAAATGACACCATTACTTTCTGCAGTACCTAAGAAATATATTACATAATGAGCTGATTCGATGTTTACAAACAAAAAGTTACCTTCGGCTCTATGAACGAAAGTCCCCTGTTCATTTGTTATAACATCCTCTCTTACAGGATCATTGACCCCTGCATTTGGTAAAAAGTATGTCTGTGATCCATCTTCAGTGACTACTAATTCTGCTGTACCTGGCTCTTCTGGAATCGCAGACGAATAAGGTTATTGAAAAAAAAAAAAACAAAAGAACAAAGAAACAAACAAATAAGATAAATGAAAGGCACATGAACTTTATCCAGCTAATTAAAGTATAAAAAGTTGAGAAAGTAAGATTTACTCGCAAGCTGTAGTTCAGAAAATATATTCATCCTTTAATTTACTTATGAAAAATTATTTTCCAAGGCCTCCGCAACTGTTCACCAAAACTCAAAAAAGTCTATTTTTTCAGAAAGCATGAAACTTGCTCAATCCTCTCCGAAACTGAGAAATTTCAATAGCTTGACAGTTACAAGCACTTACGAAGGCCAGATACGTCTGGACTGCTGTCATCAACTACAACATAAAATTCACCATCTTCACCTTGCACCACTTGACCAATAGTATTCTCTTCAATCACCTCGACTTCATGATCTCCCAACTACAACCAAGTAAATTTAAATTCGGAATGAGGAAACATATTATAAACTTCTGTAGTATTTTCTAAAAGTATTCCTTCATAACACATTTCGAAAAGACCGGTAAACAAAGAATAGGTAGATGAAATATCCTTACTGTCCTGAGAAATTCCGGCTCTTCATCAACTACAATCTGTAACGCCCCATTCTGCTGCACCCGATTTCTTATTTCATCTGTGTTCTTTTGAAAAGTACTTGTTCTGTCTGTCAAAGTACCAGTGCTCTTCCTTATGTGAGAGTTCCCAGGCAAAACATCTATAAATGGTCATCATCAATACAGAGACACTTTCACTTGAATAAGTGATGCATTTCCTCACTAACCAAAATTGATCAAGCACCTACAGTCAATGAATTCATTCTCATCTTGAAGATAAAAAAAATTTAAGTGACTTTCGCCTTAACGCAAGAAGCGTGGTAAATGGTGGAAGTTAAAAAAAGAGGATGACAAAAAAGTAAGATAAGGAAAAAAAACATTTTAGCGATATTTCCATATGCGGTTACCCAGAATGAAAAAAAAAATTTCCTTAATCTGCTAAGCATAAAGACTTATATAGATTGGCGGTTGTCCAGTAAAGATTTTACAAATGACACTTGAGTTGTCAAGGGACAGATGAACGGAACTATCCTTTTCAGATGTTGCAAAAGTCATAAAGTGATTGTGGAGGAGGGGGGGAAAAAGACGGAAGGAAAAAAATTGATTTCTGTTCTAAATAAATGCATGCCTGTAGAATTGTTGGCCGAATAGTTTGAATGACAAAACAGTTGTAACCGTTTTGTCATACATATAATAATAACCAACAGCTTCTCAGAACATATGAATTTCATCGAAAAAAGAAAAAAAAAAGTAAAAAATAAAAAATAAACTGCAAACTGAAAACACAAAGATAATTTACCCATTTCGTTGAACAACTAACGAAGTTGAGACTTCAAATTATACCGCAAATTCCTGACAATGCCCTGTTTTTCAATGCGTGCGGTTGCTGCCGAATGCGTCGCTTACGATATCATATTTTTGAGAAGAGAAAAAAAATAAATATAGAAAGCACTGTAGAAATGTCTTGAAATGTGTAGATTCAGAGAAAAAGAGTACAATGAGAAGAAAGCTTTAAGAAATTTTATAGATATAACTATGCAATTGTGTTATTGGGTTCCTGCAACGAACACGTTTACTACGATGTCTGTTTGTTTTGTCTTTTTTTCTTCCAGCTATTTTATAACTGCTGTTAAATTAACCGCTGCATTGACAACAACAGCAGTAGTAGTAAAGTGTTGCTGCTGGTACTGGTAATAGCAGCAACAGCACCAACGACGGCAATAGTAGCGGTTTTAGTAATCTGAAGAGTTGTCGCTTACAGAGCGTGCGAACAGTTAATGGTTTCTGTAAATGATGTCATTTGTACTCACTCTGAACAAGTGTTTGCAGTTAACATAGAAGGGATCCATTTTGTTGAAACATTTTGTTGTTGCTGCTGCTGTTATTTTCGTCCATTTCTGGCAGTAAATTTTTGGATTCTGTTGTAAACAACTAGTAAAATTCAAACAAAATTTTCATCATATTCAACTATTAACTGCTGAGTTAAATGGTTCAAAAAAGACAAAAAAAAAAAAAAAGTGTTACATTACAAACGTTTGAGTGATACCCACCGGTTATGTATGACAATTATCAGTGGTTGTTAACCAGCGGATACGGAGCAGTGAAGACTTATACGAAAACGAATAAAATTTGCTTTATGCTATTTCCGTATAAACCGTTATAGCTTTAGAGCTTTGTTTGGGAATCATAAATAAGTTGCTTTGTAAATTATCTGTTTCTGACATGCTTTTTTCGTTTCCTCTTTATATAGAATAAGTTGACGTTTCTGAAGTACGACGAAAAAACGGTTAGTGCGCAGTAGCTACTAAAGCTGTTTGAAGCTCTCCTGAGTCAGCTAGCTGTATGCTCTCGTTGACAAACAAGTAGGGCGGTGACTGACCGATGTCCTGTCGAAGCACAGGGTCTTATTCTCGGATCATGCTGCAGGTTTAAAAATTCATGAGAAGCGCAAAAAATTTAAGTGTTCTCAGGTGCACGGTCTGGAAGGAGCATCCTGTACACGAGAAACCCATTGAAATACTGTGTTTTTAATCTGTTGAAAAGATTCACAAAACCTACAGTTTTTTGATTTCTGAGACAAGGTAAGTAAAGAGGAAGCAGATATAAACTGTACAGAAATAAATGAAGAGAAAAAGGCGGAATAACAAGAATGGTTTCACTACTGGTTTCACTTTGGTTGCAGAAGGATTTGGATAAAAGTAGTGCATAAAGTTGAAGGAAAAGATCCACTAAGAAAACCTGATGGAAGTTTCGGAATTTCAAAAAAATTTCCTTTGGAAAAAAATGTCAGTGTTTAAACTGGGAATGGATCAGTTTCGTTGATTTTACATTTACCTTCCTGTTTCTTCCAAAAACCTTGACTTTTCACCTCTGCACTTTAGCAATTCATCTTTGTGCCTAAATGCGCGATTTTTTTCTGCATATTTTTGCAGCTGCACCGGCAGATGTGTTTTTTCCTTCACTTTTTTTATGTGCTTCTAGGTAGCGTATATTTTGGATTTTACTTAAGAACATTAAATCGATCGTGTGTTTAATTTTTTGTTGCGTAATACTGCTAACGTCTCTTTTTGATTTTACGATTCTGCGGGGATCTTAAAATACGCGAGTTTTGGGAAAACCTGCGGCTACAGGTGCTTAGAATTTCATTATTAGTGATCATTCTGCCTTATACAGCGATGATACTAACAACACTGGGTCAGCTATCCAGGCGAACGAGTATACTTTCCCGCCTGGTGTTGTTATGTGTGCTTACTCTGTAGCATTTGGTACAGTAGATATTTCTTTGTTTATTAATTAACTTTTTTTTCGCTACGGCTTCATTTTACTTAGAATTGCTTACAGGTTCTGTATAAATGAATGAATGTACTTGTTATTTGATCCACTTGTTTCGTTAATTTGGTTCGGTGGTTACTGTTTTTTTTTTCTACTGCGGTATATCTAATTGTATGCGTGGCAGGAGCGGTGCTTCTTTATGCTTTTTAAAACAAACAGCAAATGAATATTGTCAGAAATTTTGGTTGCGTTTATACATGGTAATGCAGCTTTTTTTTTTGTCTTTGTAGAGTTAAACGGTGATGAGCTGTTAGACGTTTTCACTTTCGGCAAGCCAGTGTTTTAGTTGCTAATGCAAATCTGTCGTGGTAGTAAAAGTGCTAATTTCAGTCGTGGCTTTGCAGAACGTAGAGCTTGGATACTGTCCGTTAAATGTATTGTAGAAATGATGGTGAATGCGAAGTAATTTCAGTATTTTTTTTTCTCTTTGACATTTAAAAGGGTCGAGCCATTTCAAAATCAGCTAAAAAAGAAGATGACTCACCGGAATTTACATGCAACGAATCATATGAGACGAATAGCAGCCATCAGATATCTGACATCCCTCATTACTGAAGGTAAGCTTTCGTTTATCTGATTATTTATTTATTGCAGTGTTTGACCTATGAGTTTTAGGTACACCAGACCAGAAGAAACGGACATGGGTAGAGAAGACACTATGTGAAATGGCAAATGATCGAGACGATCGAGTACGCGTCGCTGCAGTTAAGGCTCTAATGACTTGCACGGAAACAGAGCAGGGATTGTCCTGTGATTTGTATGATATAATCAAAAAGGTTTTTTCTATTACTGACTGCTAATTTTTTCGCCAATTTTTTTGTTTGCGAGAATGCTATAAACTTGTATATTTTTGTAAAGTTGGCTTTATTTTTAGCTGTGTGGGGATACGGAGAAATTAGTGCGTATTGAAGCACTGAGAATTTTAAAAGCTTTTGCTGATCGTTATGGGGATAGGTAAGTTACTTTCACGATATGTTTTATACCTCTTTTTGTGTTTTATATCACTTCAAAGCTTTTATTTATTTTTTCCTATATTGGCTATAATCATAATGTTGGTAAGGAGAGTTCCTTCCAGGCAGATCCAAGACAATAATTATACGATGCTTTTAGTTGACAATGCTTTCACAGTTGTATGTCATGCCGTCAGCGATACTGAAGTAAGTACCTGTTTTGTGCGTGTACTCTTAATTGTATTTTGGATTTGACTAATTCATTTTGCTTAATACTTTTTAAATTGGTGTATTGGATTAGAGACCAAGAAGTCACATTTATGCATAGTTTCTACTGTAAAAAGAAATTACTGATGTTGTTCCCATATTTGTAATAATGTTGTGTTTTTCGGCTGAAAATCACAGCTCCTTTACTTTCTGACTTTTAGATTTCCGTTCGGGCAGAAGCGGCTTCTTTGCTTGGAAAGTTTTCACAAGTTTCAGATTCCTACTTGCAGCAAACATTGGACAAAAAGTTATTAAATGCTATGCGAGTCTGGTTTATCCATTGATTTTTGAAAAAAAGCACTTCTGTGTAAAATATACTTCTAAATTCTTTTTGCGTTTAGATGTCCAAACCTGCTCATGATGTTTCACGCCGCCCCCATGCTGGTTTTAGTGGAGATGATCAGTCGAGATCGGATAAACAGCCGAATATTATGACAACTGGTGCTTGTGGGGCCTTCGTCTCTACACTTGAGGACGAATTTATGGGTAAGTCTGTTAAAATGATAGAGTTTTCAATTGGTTATGCAAATACTGGTTGCGGTTACCTGTCGTTTCTTCTTTGATAGTTGTGAGGCAAGCAGGAGTGAGGTCACTGGGTCAGCTAGCTGCTAATCGCCCTGTGTTCGCCAATATGGCCCTTGATCATCTTGTTGATATGTTCAATGATGAGATAGAGGAGGTATGTCCTGCTATTTTTCTCGTCAAAAATGCTTTGCATTTTCCAACTGTTTATGTGTCATGTTACTTTAAATTAGGGGATCACAGCTCGTGATTCTAGGTTAGGCTCGATGCCATTCATGCTCTTGCACCTTTGGTAGTTCACGGCGTGCTTCAATTGGACCAGCTAGCAAAAATTTGTACGGCTCTCGATGTAATCTTTCAAACAAAAGATACTCTTTGAAATAAATTGTAGAGAATTTGGTGGTTTTAGCAATTGACTGCTTGTGATTATTCTTTTAGGATAAACTTTTGGACAGTAGGGAAGCCCTTCGTCTACTCCTAGCGAAGGCAAACCTTGGAACTTCGGAATGTTTAAAATGTTGCCTAAAAGCTTTATTAAATTGCATGCGGCTATATCCTATTGATCGGCAGCCTACTTATAGGTTATTTTTTTTTCCAAAATCAAAGTTTCAAATATTATTTATTTATACGCACTTCTCAGGGATATGACTCTGTTTCTTTGAGTCCTGGTGACTCGGTTAAATTGTATTTCTTAGCATTTATTTTGATATTTTTTAGATGTCTAAGCCAGTTAGGCCGAAGACATGCTTCCTTAGTTTTGCCTTTAATTGACGAACTGCTTGGTGTGGACCCACTTTTTGAAATCACAGAACCTGCTCTTGAGGATGTTTTTTGTTAGTTTAACTGAATTTGGGGATTTTTTTGCGCTCATTGCTTCTTTTACTTTACTTTTCTGACTGCAAATTTAGTTTTATATTAATTTCAATTTAGATCTCGCTAAACTGATCTTAATTCTGAATGCTGCAAGTGAGCATGGAATTATTTGTGAGTATTTGCCGTTTTTTGCTGTGCAGCATTACCGTTATCTTCGTTTGTCCATGCCTACTATCGTTCCCTGTATCCCAGTAAATGCGTTAATCACGTTAATTTTTCTTTTATCTATTTTTTTCTCACACCTTTTTTTTGCTTTTTCGTCTTCATTTAGGAATTAGCCGAGACTGATAGTGAAATCTCAGCTGAAGTCTTGAACGCATTGAAAGGGAAAGATTTAGGACAACATGCGCGTGGTTTATTAGAGAAATATTACGAGAAGTTGTTCGAAGCGATGAAAATAACTGAAGGCTTAAAAAGGAGAGAATTTTATTTGCGTATAAAAAGGTCTCTATTCATTTCACTCCATTACTGCATCTTGCTATCATGTGACCATTTTGGTTTTTAGTATAAGCGTTAATTTTACTTGTATAACTTTGGTTTTTAAGTGATATGGATGCACTTTGTGAAATGGATGAAGGGGTTTCGAGTGCAGCTCATTTTATATCGAATTGGTTGGATGTGCTTTCTAGATACGAACTAAGCTTGCAAATGATTTTATATGGTGGGGACCTGCTAACCGCTTTTAATATTGCAGAACAGGTAAGCTAAAAGAACCCTTTTATTTGTGAATACAAGACTGATGTTGTATGGAACAGTTTTAAGAGTACAAGACAGTTTTGAAAGACTGGAGTTTATTACTGCAGAGAAAGCTGGGCAATGCCCAGTTTGCTATATGCCGTAGTAAACAACATATAAATTTTTTCTTCAACAGTTTTTAGGGCTTAGTTGTAATCGATAATCTCGAGCATGGCTTTATCGGGGTTAACAAAACATTGCTCGCGCTAGTTGCTGAGTTGAGGTTTAGACTGCGTATCTTGGCTGTAGCATCACGGCTTATATTGTGTCCTGGTGTGTATACAAATGCTGAAGAAGTTATCAGCTTTGAGCTCACACAATTTCAGAAGTTTGCATTTTATATTATACTGTACAATGTTCTACTTAACCAGCTTTTTTCCAATATTTGGAAGTAAGGGAGGTCTTTTAGCAAATTCTACTCTGTTGGAGAATAGTGAATGGTTAGAAAGTTTGGGTTTAGGAGGTCGTTGTTGGAAATTGAGACGTTAGAGAAAGTTAGAGAACTATTCGTATGAGTTGTTTTCGGTGGATAAATGCTGGGTTTTGCTATTAGCTTTTCTGATAAGGTTCATGAATTTTTTCTTCTTTTCTCTTTAGTAAAGTTACTTTTCAGGCGAATGAAGGAAATTACTAGTGGCGAGATGCAGTCGGTAGCTCCGTTAGTGACAGATATTGAGAAACTTTTTATTTGTGATGCAGGTGAAACCAAAAAATATTTAGATGGAAGGATGTTGTTAAGGGTTTTTGAAGGTCGTGATTTCACTCTTCCTAAGGAATTCATTTCTCTAGATGGAGTCAGCAGCAAATGGGCAGAGGTAATGAACTTTTTTTTCTATTATTCATTTTGAAACTGCGTTTCACTGAAATAAATAAAGACAAATCCATCAATTAGAATATGGAAGCTTCTTCACTAGTCTTTCATTGTATGATGTTTTTTAGATTATTGAACCAAGTGAGGATGACTCAGATCCAGTGCGGTTTATTGCTGGTCTTCCAGTTGGCATCTCTTTTAATATTTTGCTACATAATTTTGAACAAGCAGATATTAATAAATTTCGAATGCAGGTGAGTCTCGTCTTATTGTTTTCAGCTGCTTCAAAAAGGGAATGAATTAATTTTCTTGCATGTAGTGAAGTTATTCAAATTCCAAATCGTTGAAAAGTTATGTTATGAATAAACTTGCACGAGTTTTTAAACATTTAAAGTTCAGGGGAATGAACTGATCTAATAACGTATCTGAAGTAAGTGCATATTTCTTTCAGCTTGCTAACTTGAGGAAGCTTTTTAGATCACATATCCTGATATGTTGACTCACATGTTTTGTCCTCGAAAATGCGACTTTCGACAGCTACCGTCAAATAATGTTAGATTGATTAGTGACGTTTGCATGGTCCAGAGCAACCCTTGGTCGTCTGCTGCACGTGTAAGGGTTGGCTGTGTGTTCGAGGCAAAATCGGATTGTGGAATTGCCCTCAAAAATGAGCAGGTCTCTGCGGTACCTGAAGTAACACTGGGAAGAAAGTATGACTTTATACCAATTCCGGAATCACCATATTCTGACAAGCAGGCAGCGGTGGAAGTTTCTATTCATCCTATGTTTAAACAGTGTTGAAGGCTACCTCACTGTAAATTTCTAATATTCTTTTCGTTTGTATAAAGTTGCAGATTGAGTAGCAGATTCTATTCTATTTCTCTGCAGTCTCATTTTTTCTGTTCTTTAAAGTTATCAATTGTGAGGGCCAAAAGACGTTATCTGATATGTATGTTGCTAGAAACTTCGCTGTTTATAGCTATGAGAAACTGTAGAAATACGTACTTCGGTTTAGTTTTGCATAATTTCATTGTCTGCTTTCGCGATGACTCATATTTTTTCGTTAATAGAACCCAATTATAATAGAAGACTTTGTTCACTTGAGGAAAAAGTTTTTTTTTGTTATGTTTTTGAATCAGGAAAGCTTATCATCTTCTCATGCAGTTCTTCGTTGTCTAACTAAATTCACGAGTGATTTTGCTTGAAGGGAGAGAAATGGGGGTTGGTTGCTTGACTATCGTTTTCCGGTCGTTCTGAGCTTGTAAAAATTTTTTTCGGAGGGTAAACTATTAGTTCAAGAAGTTTTCAAAAAGGCTCTACAGATTTTCGAAAATATAATAAGCTCTCAACTTCTTCAAAAGCTGTTTTTTAGCAAAGTCGCCTTCGTGCTGAAGTTGTGATTGCGGACTAGACAAAAGTTTGCTTTCAAAACTTATGAAACGATGTCGTAAAGGTTCTGAATGCTGTCTTGGTGGTTTTTATGAGAAGATTTTGTATAGCTATCGTTTTTTTTGACACCTGATGAATTAAAATCTTTCATTTGCTACTTTGTGAAAACTAATTGTTTGTGACAAATTAATTCATATTCTGCTAACCGAAAGCTCTGGTAAAATGTTGATCGTACAAAGCAGGTCTGAAAAGTGGTCAAAATTTGAGAGGGATTGAGTTGAATTTTGGATTTATTACAGATCAGTGGTTTCCAGATTTCAAGTTGTTTTGTTCTGGAGTCGTCGCTTATTGGGTAGAGAGGAGTTTTTTGCATCATCTTTCAACAGTATCATGAAAAGTTTGTGATTACGTTATAGCGATTTCCCCAATGGGACTTTGCAATTTTGCGGCAAAATTTTGGTTGTATTGGATGGTCATTTTAAGCCGTTAACATAGGTTGTGTAGGGTTTGGGAAAGAGATGTAGATAGGGATTGTGGGGAGTGTGAGGCTGAATAGTCGGTATAAAAGGTGGTGGGGTTCTTGTTGCAAGTTGGAAAATAACTTTTAAAAGAGCTCATAAGCAAGTAACTTTCAAAAAAATCCTGGGACTACAGAAAGTGGGAGCGTTGTAAATGATACATTTTTGTATTCATGTTGTTGCTCTGTTTTGAAAAGTTTTTTTGCATGGGTGGTTGCGTTTTGTTAATTTTTGTTAAACTCTTCATAGGAATGAGATTGAAGAGTCATTAATCAGGTTCACAACCATCAGCTTTTGGGCCTAAGACTCTCATTTGGGAATGACTGGAAGTAGTTGTTAGGAGTATTTGCTAACATATCACTGGACAAGTCCTAGTATCTGTGGAATTCCTGTAACGGTGACTGTCTAAAAACCAAAGTCCTGTTTGGCGCGTTCACTAGCCTTGATTGTGGTTGATACTGGTTTTTTTTAACAATTTAATAGTTAAGTGCAGCTAAGCTTTGGCGGTAATCTCAGTGCTCCAATGAGATACGTGTTGAACTGTACTAAAACTATAAAATGGAGTAAAAAAGTTCGCCGTCTAATTTTGCTAATTGCCCATTCTGTTACATTTTTGGTAGTAAGGTATTTTTGTGAACAGATTTCAGATTGACACTTTTAGTTGGAGTTTTCGGACGGTATGTCGACAACAAATGACAACCGAAACTTTTACTGTAAAATATGAAATGTTATTGTTAGGATGAAGGAAAAAAACTACAAAATTTTTATTTGAATACTGCAGAATTATAACTGTTTAAATGACATGAAGCAGTTTTTTCGTTGTCTTTCGATTCAGTTTTTCCTTTGACAAAAATTAAAAAATTGCATTCCACAAAGTTGTCCCAAAGAAACACCATCATCTAAGATCATTTTATTTGTCAAACGCATATCGCATGTCAAATCAACTTCAATTTTTAAAATGAAAAAAAGGAAAACTTCAGCGTTTTTTTTTCGAAACTTCAATAGTGTTAGATAATACCAGCGAAATTATGTAAATTAAACAGCTGGCAACAGGCAGACAAACGGGCAGACCGACAGACAGTAACAGGTCAGAGAGGCAGAGTGGAAATGCAGAAACTTTGAACAATAATCTTCCTTTATTTTCAAATAAAGGAATAGACCGCAGTTATACTTTACAGTAACATTACGATCATCAAATTACACTGGTCTTATTTGATTGTCATTATAACATTTTTTGGAAGATAATTATACACACTTTATTTTTTTCGTTTGTAGAAATGCTTTTTTTCTGTTTGGACAACGATAGCTAATTAAAAAAGCCAAATCAGATGGCAGTTGAATGCTTCTAGTAAAACTACACTTGTTAAGCAGTTTTAACAACAGAATATCATTGAATTGATGCATTCACAATTCCCACTAACCCTTTTTTTTCCTTTTTTGTTTTTTTTAAAAGACGATTTATGAGTGTGAAAAAATGTGTAAAAGCTGATCGTAGAGTTTGTTTTGCGAAAGACAGCTGTAGTTATTTAGGTTCGAAAAATATCAAAAAATTAAAAGAACCTTTCTAATCCGATCTACAGCTCTAAATTTTTTATAGTACACGTAAATCTCCAACGTTTGTGATTACTTCCTTTTTTTTTCACTATTTCAAGCAAATTTAAGGATCAGTGTTTTTCGGCTTCATTTTTTTTTTATCCTTTTTGTCATAAATTAAAACTTTGTTCAGCTTTCAAGTGTGTTAAAAAAACTAAAACTACCAGAAGATGATGGTCCGTTGGACAGCAATAAATGTTTTACAGGATACAGCTGTTGATTGTTAATATTACTGTAACTGCACAGTGACTTTGGACATCAAATATTTGTTGCAAACTGTTGTTTCCAATAAATTTATATTCTCTGCTTATGTAATTTATCGAGTCATCTTATACTTGTCGTTTTTTTTTAACACAGAAACGGACAGACAGAAATAAAACGTGGGTTCCTGGAAGACAACAAACAGCGACTGAAGTAACTGTCTACCCACAATATCAGGCTGTCAACAGCTGTTTTTCAAAAATTATTTCAGGTTGCTTTAGCACCGTCTTTAACTTGCTACCATCTATTTTTACATTACTGCGCCTAAACGTACCAAATAAAAACCTATTACTCACGCAGGGAAAAAAAATCAGAAACACCAAGCATCAAACATAATAAACTAAAATATAATGTAAAAAGACTCCAAAGCAACTACTGTCGGTCGAAAACTGGCATTCTGAACTTCTGAAACGAACAAAAAAAAAGAATTCCACTTTCCTATTGTCACGTTGAGGAACAGAAGTTTGTACCCACAGCTTTATCCTGCTTTAACTTCAACAAGTACAAAAACGCTTTGGAAAATCTAAGTTGTAGAAAATAAAAGGAAAAAAAAAACTGAGATAAAGAAAAAGGAAACAACTAAGGTGATCATTGAACAACAACACTAATGTGAACATCACATTTTTACAGACAATCAATCATCTATACAATCCTTAAAACCATTTGCCATATCAGTAGTAGGCACTGTTTAGTTGAAATCCGGCTATGACTGAAACCACGTAACAGTGTTAGATCCATAATACAAAAAAAGATTAACCACTGGAGGACAAGTGAGATAGCCAGTGAACAAAATGTTTTCAGAATTGAATAAGGCTCCATCCAAAAAGTTAAACAGTTACTAAAGTAGTTATTCTATTACACTTACTGTTGGTCATGTCTTCTGGATAACTTTAGTCAAATCATAAAACCCTTTTTTTCCTGTTTTCTTCTTTATGGATCATACCTTTAATGAAAGCCGGTGTCTAACCGAAACCACAACAAAAACAACAATTATGTCCAGTAGCTTTGAAAAACAGAAGTTTTAAGGACTATAAATCACAATAACATCTTTGCAAGAACCGAAAACAATCCAAGCAAAAGACTTACTTTATTTTATAAACGGTTTTGCAAACTATGGAAACAAATCAAGCAAGAAGACCTATTTTTAAACTATATATCAGTTTTATACACTTTTGTTATTGTTTTCTTTGCGCATTTTTCCCGCCTTTTTATTACTTTTTCTTGAGATAGCTGTATCAACCCGAAAACTACCTCCAATCAAAAAATCCAACTCTTGATGCGAGGATAACGAACTGATGAAAACAATCGACGACAATATGTTGTTGCAGTGAAGTATTTTTAGTAGTCAGTAATACAATCCTATCATTAGCAACGGTTAGTTGTTCTGAAAATAACAACATAGATAGTTTCATAACGTCATCAACAACAACTGCCCTTCTACAATGCTTAACTACTGATTTGTGGCCAATTCTCCAAAAAAAAAAATTCACAAAGAAAAAAAAAACAAAGCAGCTAAAAGTGTCTCAATAAAAAAAAAACAAATCCCTTTTGACCTACCTTATCAGTAATACTATGTGCTATCAGATTGAGGAAGTAGATTAGTTCATTGAAAAAGCAGCAAGCTGTTTGTTCAGCTGTCCGGTTGCACGTTGTTCCAGCTGCATGGCACTTTCTTCCAGACGACTCAACACCGAATGTGGCTCACACTCTTCGCTGACCCTAAAACATTAAAACATTCATATACATATGACACCTATAAGAATAGAAAGCTTATAGCTGATCGGGAAGAAACCAACATGCACTAACGACACATGCAAAAAAAAAAAAAAAAAAAAAAA